GTTCCATTGAGGACCACACGCTGAGTACGGCCGGTCAGCCAGCTACGAATCCATCTGATGGTAATGCTGTCTAACACACATTTTTCTATCTTATTAAGTAGTAGGTTGTGATCTAGTTTATCAAATGCCTTACTGAAGTATGAACTCAGCTTCATCTCCTAACCCCACACTTAGTGGCAAAATTAAGTCTTGACATTAGAGTCTAAAGACAACATTAGCCAGAGAAGACAATAGAAGAGTCTGCATATGAGATTAGAAGTGCCACAAACCAGTGACTGCTCACATCTGTAAAATGTTAATCATGAGGACATTTATAGTTTCAAGGAAGAGACTTGCTTCTTTGTTTTGGAATTGCTTCCTCCATTAAGGCTCTTTTCATCCTGGCATTTCTATGCATGCATTTCATTTCAGCAATCGCTTTGATGCATCTATGCTTATCACAAATATAATCCATTTGGACTGAACATGATGGAATACCCCCACACACAGAATGTATAAGTACATGCATTTTTGTATAGCACTCTCTGTATTTAATCGTTTGTATGCTTACCATTTGATTTTTTAAAAGAAATTAAGGTGCTTGTCACAATTCAGGGCTTGGATATGTAGGCGGCTACCTCTATCCAATAATTTGTTCCTGTCCGAAAAGAACTGGTAAGGTCAGCACAGTCCAGTCCTATCTACTAAATGGTGTCACTAGATTTTGGAAGTATACATTCTCTGCCACTGGTCCTACTACTTAGAACAGCATTCCTTCTCTGCCATGTCCTTTAGCTTGCTGTTATAGGAAAATATTTAAAACTTGGCTCTTCAGGATTCCCTTGGCCAGATGTTTTGTAAGACTGCTTCGTAACATATTTTATTTTACTTTATTTTATTATATTTATTCTGCCAGTTATTATAACTAACTGAAGTCTGCAGACATACATATTACCTTCCTCCTCCTATTTTCCCCAAAACAACAACCCAGTTGGGCTGAGAGATAGTGACTGGCCAAAGTCCCCCACTTGCCTTTCGTGCCCAAGGTAGGACTAGAACTCACAGTCTCCTGGTTTCAGTATCATAACCACTACTATTTCCTAGGATGCAGTTTGAGTTTAAATGGTTTCCTTGTAGTTGATTTTGTACTATGTATTTTATGATGCATTTTTTATTTTTGTCACCTGCAGTCCCAATAGTTTATAAATTGAATAAAATAAACAAAAAGTTATCAGAAGTTTGTGAATACAATTATGCTTTTAATTAGTAAAATAAATTCTGCTGCTAGATCTTCTCCAGCATGTATATAGCCTTACTAGAAAAATAAAATATTTTAATCCTTTAATCCTTTGTTTCATGAGAAATATGTAATGAAAAGATCAATATAAAATCCAATATATTTTGCAATGTTTTTATTTCCACCATTTGTTTTCTTATCCAATGTTTCTGTAGCAAAATAATAATAACAACAACCATCATCATAGTAATAATAATAGCTACCAGACCAAAAATAAGCTGCACTTTCTTGGAATGATGCAATGCATCTTATATTCCAGTTTACAGAAGCTTTTAGGACTATATGTAAGTGAGCTGTCCCTCATTCCAACAGTAGAAAAATCTCTGTATAGTGGCCTGATACAACTCTTTTTTAAAAAATGCATGTACAATTCAAGATTGCTTTGTTAAAATATATATATATATATATATATATATATATATACAACCTATATATATAGATATATACATTATACATACAGACACTAGGACCCGAAACTCTCACCAGGAGAGAGAAAAAGAAACAAGACCAAGAGATCCTGAAATGAAAATCCCTGAACAAAAAAGCCACTAGAGGCTACCCTTATCCCTTACACACCACACATACATTAACCTTTATCAAAGAGGAAGTCAGCAAAGCAGAAAAATAATTTTAAAAGTAACAGAGATTTATTTTCAGCATCTAGTTCCTTGATAGCTATCAAAGTAATGACCAAGCATTAAATATGTTAGAAATGCAACAGAGAGAAATGCAGTACTCAGTTCTAAAATGAAATTTACTGAGGTTCAAGTATTTCCCTTTAAGCATAAAACTATATTCTGTACAGACATGAGATGTGGGTTACTAAAGTAGGGTGGAAAATGCACCCTGAGCAGGCTGAAGAGTATTCCTGTAGTTAATTCACACTTTCAGAATGGAACAGATTCCCAGACTTAATACTCAGATTCAAGAGCCCAAACTAGAGGCACAACCTTATCATGCAAGAACTATAGATCTGATTAATCAAGAGTTCTTATTTCTTGTCCATCTCATAAAACAACTTGTTAGATTTCTCAACAGAAGGCTATTCTAAAGCTGTTTGCAGAAAATTGGCATCTCTTAAAATAAAACAGGCCTCCAAATTCTTACTTTTATTGCAGATTAATTAGTCCAGAATACATAGTTATCTTCCTAGTTCCATTCTGTTAGTTGTCATTGTAATTAAATTGAGTGCTTTTGAGCATGATCATGCAATTGAACCCTCACTCTTTTACATGTGTGATGTCACATAAAAAAGGATTGGGCCTTTTATCATGTCATAATCTCCATCGTGACTATTTTTTGACTTTACACACATACACAAGTGTCCCTGAACAAGAATATATTTTCATAATAATTTGGAAGTAGACAATGTTTTAGTATACCTTGTGCACTTTGTTCATAGAGGAAAGGCAGGACAAGGGATAATAGAGGAGCACTGTCCTTGCAACATATTATTTCAATAAATACAGGCAGAAATATTGCCTAATCCTGTATTACCTTGACAATTTATTGCAGTTTTATCCACAGTTAGATTTAGATCATTAAATAAAATCTTTTCCTCTCCAACTGCATTCCCTTTAGGTGTCAACTCCTTTGTTACAACAAGTAAGCTTAAAAAAGGCTTTTAGTGCAATCAATGAAACCTTTTAGACAAGTGTAATTGCTTGGTGGGGGGTGGGGAGGGAGGCTGAGGAGGCCACAGGTCCTGGGAGGTCCAATAGTCCAGGTATTCTCCTTTGCTGCATTATACCTATTTCACAAGAGCAAAGGCAAAATTTGTTTTATCTGACTAGCCATTATATTTGTGTGCATAGTATGGAGTAATTAAACATTTCTAATGTTCTTACAAATTGTCTCATGAAGGAAAAGGAAAACTTCCAACATCCTCTCCTGAGATGCAGGGCTTTTTTTCCTCATAGAATGCCCAGAATGGAGTTCCGGCACCTTTTTTGGATGGAACCTTGTAGGGTAGGCAAGGCGGGTTGTATGGCGTATGTGAGTTCCGGCACCTTTACTTTTTAAAAAAAAAAAGCACTACTGAGATGAAATAGTACTATTCCATACTGTTTCTCATAGTAACTGAAGCTACAGGCACCATATCTGAGGTGCATGAATTCACATGACCAATAGGTGACATAAAGACTATTCACCCAGATTTTTGCAGACCAGATATGGTAGCCTTGCTACCTTCAACCTTGCTGAAGTTGATACCTACAGTGACCCTTTTCAGAAACTCTCCAAGAGGAAGGGATAAATTGCTTTGCTCTCCTTCTAAATGTTCAAATATAAATATATTCAGTTCCTTCAGATGTATACAATGCTTAAATAGCATCCAGAATCATGGATTGTAGCTTTCATGGCTTCCTGAAAAATGTTGGTTGAGTTTAGTCGAAATAATGAAGATCAAGTTTAATAATAGAAAAGCAGAGTTGGAAGGGACTTGGAGGTCTTCTTGTCCAACTACGTGCTCAAGCAGGAGACCCTATATCATGTCAAACAAATGATTGTCCAATCTCTTCTAAAAACCTCCATGATGGAGCACCCACAACTTTTGGAGGCAAGTTGTTCCACTGATTATTCTTCTAATTGTCAGGAAATTTCTCCTTAGGTGGATTTCTCCTTAATAAGTTTCCATCTGTTATTTCTTGTATTTCTTGTCCTGCCTTCATATGCTTTGCAGAATAGGTTGACTCTCTCTTCTTTGTGACAGACCCTTGGAAGACTGCCATCATGTCACTCCTAGTCCTTCTGTTTATAAAACTAGATATGTTCAGTTCCTGCAACCATTCTTCATATGCTTTAGCCTCCAGTCCCCTAATCTTCTCTGTTGTTGCTCTTCTCCGCATTTTTTCTAGGGTCTCTTTTGTATCGTGAGGACAAAACTTAATGCAGTATTCTGAGTGTGGTCTTACCAAACCAGTATAAAGAAGTACTAGCACTTCACGTGATCTTGATACTATCCCCTCTGTCGATGCAGCCTAGGACTATAAAACAGTGATTCTCAGCAGAATTTGAATGGTTCATGTTAATTAAAATCTGTTGAATAGACATACTCTATTAAAGAAATACAGCAGATATAATTTTGGTATGCATTTTAAACTTTAAAATTTTTCATTATTTTAAATCCCAGAGAATAGAAATACAGTATGTCTGTTATGGCTAGATGTTAACAAGATTTTCTCATCTCAGTTAAAATTAGATTTTGAAATGCATGGTAATGATTAACAGTCGGGGGAAATCAACCCTGGAGGACTGAGAATCTCCTGGTAATCTTAAAATATTTCCACAGCACGCTTTTCTCAGAAGGAGAAAGGAGAAGGAAATATAAATGTACATTAACACTATAGAAATATTTTAATAAGATATTAACTATAAAAAAATAAATGCTTTTTGACATTTATGCACATGCTGTCTCTGGCAACTGCTCTTTTTCCAATTATTGAGATTGGAAGCTTATTAATCTGATTCAAATATTTGTAATTTTCAAGCAGTTGTTACATTTACTCGTGATGGAGAGGTAAACCTGATGAATAGGGCTCCAATCTCCAGTGCAAACTTCAGTCAAGAAATCCAGTTGAATGTGATCTCCACAAAGCTGTTCCATCTCTTCTGGATATTTTATTGTCTGTCTTAAGAATCCTGTAAAAGGGAGGTCATATACAGAATTTTAACTGACAATAAAGGCAGCAGAGTAGAAAACTGATAGATTGACCAATGGATTGAATTTTTTTGGGAAAAAATCCTGCATATGAATTATTATTCACTGACATGAGGTTTGATTAAGAGTTAAGACACAATTAAATTGTTCCACTATATTATGAAACAACTAAAAAGGTGCTATTTGGGTTTTTCAGCTCTGATATCAAACTGGATGGATAAATCTAGCAGGAGAGCTTCCCAGCAAATTGTGTCTCACTCTAATCGGTAAGTTTACAAGGTGCCATTTCTATTTTCCACCAACATGTCTTGGGTCAGCCATGACAAAGACTCTTCATCCTTGCCATCTTGTGACTCCATATTTGCCACTGCAACTAAGGCAAAGCCTAGGTGGATCCCCTGTACATCCAAAAAGTGCTCAAGTATCATACAGAGTAAACATTCTTTTATAGCAATGCCTGCCTATGGGCAGGGTTTTCACTGGCTGTTTGACTCCAGCTTGTGAGAGAGTTCAAAGAGCAAATTCTGATTGTCAATAACTTGGAATTGACGGACATAAGCCTTTGTCTGTAGCTGCTGAGGCGATGACTCCATTTCCAAACCTGTGGAAGAAAGGAAGAAGACTATTATTTAGGGAACATTGCTGTTACACATACTAGGCTTTATATTTTATGAAATCATGGCTTATTTAATAATGTTGAACAAGCCATAGGCTAAAATCACACAATATGCTAAGCCATAATGTAGTTGTTTGTTTGGCTTAGAGTTCAAACCCATCAACTGTGATTCATAAATTATAATTTATGGCTTACTGTAATACACAAACCTAGTCAACTGGGACTTACTGTATACCTATGATTAAGCAAATCATAGCATCATATGCTATATGAATACAACTGTAACTACATCTTAGGTTTTGATATGGCACAATATTGTCTCCTAAAATATCTGATAAACTAACCCATACAGAGTATTTAATGGACTGAATTCAGCTTTTATTTCCAAAACAGCCTCTCCCTATATTCCTATTTATACAGTTGCGCAGTAGGTGAAAAATAGATTGTGCTCATCATTCCACCAAAAGTGTTAGTAAAGTAGTTTGGTCACAAAGCAACTTCTGATTTGTGGGATAGATTCAGAACACATGAAATATTTATCTTGATTCAGCAAAGGAGTCCCGAAAACCACTACCATATCTGGATTTCAAAAATCCAGATAACCCAGAATGACAGTAGATAGATATCTTCAGATTCTTTGCAGATATTCTTTGCAAACTTGTAGCCTGCATATTGGAATCCTACCAAAAGAGATTCATTTTAATTTCTCCATATTCTAAAGATAATGCTCAAGAAGAAACAAAAGAAAAGAACAGGAAGAAGATATATTGCTATTATCACTATCCAAAGAGTGACCCCAGAGCCAGATCATCTCTTTCCAACAATGCTCTCTGAGTTTAATAATAATAATAATAATAATAATAATAATAATAATAATAATAATAATAATAATAATAATAATAATAATAATAATAATAATAATAAAAAAGTTGGAAGGGACCTTGGAGGTCATCGAATCCAACCCCCTGCCCAGGCAGGAACCCTACACCATTTCAGACAAACGGCTGTCCAGTCTCTTCTTAAAAACTTCCAGTGTTGGAGCATTCACCACTTCTGGAGGCAGGTTGTTCCATTGGTTAATTATTCTAACTGTCAGGAAGTTTCTCCTTAGTTCTAGGTTGCTTCTCTCCTTGATCAGTTTCCACCCATTGCTTCTCATCCTGCCTTCAGGCGCCTTGGAGAATAGCTTGACTCCCTCTTCTTTGTGGCAGCCCCTGAGATATTGGAACACTGCTATCATGTCCCCCCTCGTCCTTCTCTTCGTTAAACTAGACATACCCAGNCTAAATGTAGAACCTTACTTTTTTCACCATTGAATTTCATTTTGTTAGATAGCGCCCAGTGTTCAAGTCTGTCCAGGTCCTCCTGTATCCTAAGCCTGTCTTCTGGAGTGTTGGCTATTCCTGCCAGCTTGGTGTCATCTGCAAATTTGATGAGTTCCCCATCTATCCCCTCGTCCAGATCGTTGATGAAGATGTTGAAAAGCACTGGGCCCAGAACAGAGCCCTGGGGCACCCCACTACAAACTTCCCTAGCTAGGCTGTCTATTGATTTAATTTGGAATTCTGTATATTTTAATTGCTGATGTTTTCCTTTACTAATAGACTCATTTTTGCATCTAGAGAATTGCTTCCTTGGTTTAATAGGATAATTTCTCATTACAAGCCTTTCTACATGCAAGACTGTATAATATTGCACTTGCCTCTTGTGTTCCAATATTGGAAAAACATTTATTAAGAGGGTTTTTTTGTGGACTTTAGCCAGGATTACTCAAAGTAGCTTTCTGTTTTCTATATGACTAGGTCAAATGGAAAATTCTTGGTGGAAGAGTTCAGACCGCTCTAGATAAACTATGATGAGTCAGAAAGTTCAGCCTAACTAGTATTCTAAGTGTCTTTTATGGTGGAAACTTTGGAAGAAGGGAGATTTTAAATTATCTGCTCTTCGTAATCAACTGAGCAAGATATAATAGTCATACACCACAGTTCATCCTTAAACTATCCAGCAATCATGGTTTCATAGCTGTGCTACTCAGAGGAGGAGGTAGCAGTCTGAACAAGCTCCTCATCTGATACCAGTTATTTGCTATGGCCCAGAATGGTAGATTAATTAAAATAATGCCTGGATACACTTGCTACAAAAAACACCACACCACCACAGTGGAATTTAACATATAGAGGTTCAGCTAATTATTTAAACAAAACTCAGCAGATCACAACAATAGATGGATCAGTTTAAAATTCTAGATTATTTATTCAGATATTGTGTTTCTTCCATGTTCTGCTAAATGTCTCATGGCCAACCATACATAAATAGCCCCACTTATGATATAAATACTTACAGAGAGGTTGACTTCGGCATTTCCTGATACTGCGTACTTTTTCTGCAACTGAATGCTGCAAAAGAAAATAGAATGGGGAATAGAGCACATCTACATTTTGATCATATAAAAGAATATTGGTCATATTTCATTAGTAAACAGCTAAAGTTTATAAGCAGGAAGTAAATATATATTGTTTTTCCAACTTCATAGAGGAAGTTTGTTTGTTGGCTACCTCTCCCTTGCACATTTAATATTTTTTTTTGAAGAAGATAGTTGGATCAAGGAGGTGGTTGGATTTTATTTACAAAAGGAGACACTAAAAAAACAAATTATCTAAGCCCTTTTTCTGTGAAGTTTTGAGCCAGTATTTAATATGGAAACCATATTGATCACACTTGTAGATGATCTGATGGAATTAAGTTGAGGACGTGCAACCATCCTAAATTTTCTTGCTCTTTCAGTAACTTTCAATAACATCGATCATAGTATCCTTCTGCAGAGAGTGGGAAACATAGTGTTATGGCGATCTTTCTCCTTTCTCCATGCCCAATTTCAGAAATGAAGTTGGTGAGAAGAGAACAGTTAAGCCCATGATGTATGAGAAGCCATAGGGTCATCATTCTTACTCTTTTATTTAACATCTAAATGAAGCTGCTGGGTTAAGTCATCTGCTATTTTAGGTCTGATATAATCAGTATGCTGATATGGCCAGCCCAGTGAGGGGATGTATAGCAGTATCATCAGCAGTATGCTGATGATACTGTTATACATCCCTCACTGGGCTGGCCAAATGATGCTGTTAAAGTCTTCCCAGTATCTGAAGCTGTGAGAGTTTTGTGCATAATCTCAGGATCCTCCTTGACTCAAGGATCTGCTTGAAGTACAGATGGCAGCTTTGGCCAGACAAAGAACCTTCACATTGGGTGAATCTGTTATACTCTTTTTCAGATAGGAGTCCATTCTTATGGTCTCTCATGGCTTAGTAACCTCACAATGGATTTTGCAGCGCACTGAATATGAGTCTACCCTTGAAAACCATTCAGAAATTACAGTTGGTACAAAATACATTAGCACAAGTGGTGGCAAGTCAGCCATGACATGACATGCAACATTCATGCCCCTTGAACTACACTGGATACTCCTCAGCTTCTGGGTGACAGTTAAGGTGGTGATCAACATGATTAAAGATCTATATGTCATAGATTATCTGTTATATGTTTCTTGGGACATAGTTATATGTTTCCTGGGACTTCTGCTTACCCTGTAAGATCTGGCATACTTAGCTTATTCCTGATTCAATAATTCAAGCAATGCCATCTAACAGGATGCAGGAAATAGGCCTTCTCTGTTTCAAGACTTGCTGTTTACAACAGCATTCTTCCTGTGATTTGCATGGGTCTCACCTTATGGCCTTTAAAAAAAAGCATTAAAAACAGTTCTTTCCCCAAGCCTTGGGTTAAGTTAATCGGTGGTGGTGGAGAGCTTTTTATGTCTATTGTTGAGAGAGAATTTAATATATCTCCAGATATTGATATTCTTGGAGATTTATTTTCTTTTTTATTACTACTTTATATAAGCTGCTCATAATTTTATAATATAATCAATCCATCATTTTCAATAGAAGTAAGATTCAAGGCTTGAGTGTAAAATTCAAAAGTACATTCACGTGTTAAATCATAATGATCTTTGTAATGCGATATTAACAAACCTATGAATAGTACAAAGAAGCAAATCCATAGTATATATTTTCTCTCACCCAGAGGGATGCTGAATGGGATGCACTGTTTCATCAGCAGAGGGAGACGTCTACCAACATAATCAGGGCAACCCTATTGACTCCAGAATATCTATCATTTTATCTGCTGTTTAACATACAGCTGGTTTTGCTATCAGATTGAGTCACTTTCATTTTCAAGACTCACCAGAAGATTTTGTTAAGAACCATAACCAAGTAGGGTTTGTGGGACTTAAAATTACTTTATTAAAGAAATCTTTCATCAATCGTATGTTTTTTGTGAGGAAAATAAGAGGAGGAAGGAGCATTAGTATTATTTCTGCCTTGAGTTGCATATGAAAAAAAGAGGGGATAAAAATTTTAAAAGAACTATATCAATTTACATATAAGAAAAAGACTTTATTAAAAATGATTGCTGACCTGCTGCAGCAAGAATCATCTTGGAAAACTGTTTTTAAAGTTCTATTTTTGTAGTATTGATAGATGAAAATAGGTAAAGAGAAAGGAACTCTATTTCTCTATTAACAAAAAATTACTATTGGTTGTTGGTAAAATGTAACTTACCCTTCAAGAAAAGCACTATATAGGATTACTTAACTGGATTTTCATATAACTAACAAATGTTGTTAAAAGGCATAAGATTTTGTGAGCTACATTAGACACACAGAAGTGTAGAATTTAATTTGGGGTAAGGGAGGGGAAGACAAGTTGATTATGCAGATGAAATATGATACAGATTATCAATTAATCATTGTAATGTATGCTTGATAAGATTTTGAGATAGATTGAAATCTTTTGATGTATGTAAGTTTTCAGTAATCTCTCATTCAATTACATTGTTAAATTCTCTTTTCTACCACCCAGGACATTTTTCTGCAGATCAGAAAATGACTGTTTTGGAAAAAACAGACTAACTTTTAGCTTGATAGAAAGATGTCCTAAAAGTCTGCAGTTTATTATTTTTAATCTATTGGTAGGTTCCTTATGGGGTTTCAGAGGAGCTCCATAACTTTGCATAATTCTGCCATTTTTCAAAGTTCTCACTTGTTCTTCTGTTTCACAGAAGCCTATGAATCCTATAGAAAGGTAACTTTTCCTTCCAAGCTCAGTTTCTGCTGACTTCACAAACCCATCCATGTTGAATGTGTTTTTATTTTTAGCAACAATATGATGGTGGTTTGCCACCGCTTTCTTCTAAGATGTTCATTTCATTTCCCAGTTTAGCCCATAGCCATAGGGTCTTCTGAGTACTAACGCCCTTTTTATTTTTTCCCGGAACAGCCAAGATTGTTTTTTTCAAACATTAATAATAACATGTTCCTCTTTTTTCCTAAAACTCCTGAAATGCCAACCAAGATGCACACTGTTAAAAATGGCCAAAAGCAACTTCGAATAAAAAGAGGACAAGTTCTTTTGGATAAACATGCTTGTTGGAAATATGTTCTACGAATAATTACAGAACTTTTCTTTTTAACGATTGGAAAAGATAAATGCCAGCATACACATAATTCTGCATTTCACACAATGCACATTTAGGCCAGAGGAAGAGGATGAGGTCATAAGAAAAACTAGGGCTTCACTGACCAAGATACAGCTTTGTTTCTCCTACGACCACCACTACCTCTGTCTCCTCTTCCCCAGAGACTAGAAAATCTGGGCCAACTCCAGCACTGAACACATCTCTCTCACACATGCACATTCGTCTCTTAACAAGGAGAGCTGCAGGAAAACTGTTGCCATGGTAACTCCACTGTCCCACTGAGCTAGACACTGTACGGAGGAGTCACCCCTAGATAATCTCCCTGGGGCAGGGGGGAGATGCAGGAGGGAAGAGGATTTGAGCCCTCCTACCCTTCCACTGTCAGACTGCATTTGCTCAGCCTTGCTGGAGGCTAAAGTCAACCATTCCTACTCTTCCCCAGTCCTACAGCAGGGACCAAAATAACACTTGAGTGTTTCTTGCAACTCGTTATATCCTAGCATGGTGAGCAGCCTCAGCAGGAAAGGAAAATCAGAAAAAGATGGGCTCTGAGGCAGAAAATTAGAACATTAGCATTAGCCTCCAGCATCCTTTTCTTCTTATGCCTTTACAGCAGAGAAAAGGCTTTTGGCTTGCTATACAGCTGAACAATAAACCTGTATGCCTTTGGCATAGGAGGTGGAAGGGATTTTCTCTGGGTAAACTATTCAGGGAGTGGACTAACCCCTCCTCCTTCCTAAAACTCAATCATCTCTGCTAGACCTTCATTTTCTCTGCAGATCTTAAAAAATATTTTGCAAAGCAGCCCCAAATATTCAGATGTCACTTTGGACATTAAATGTTATGGGGGTTGGGTCATCATATGGACCCAGCAATCTGTAAATCTGACCAGTATGGTCTGGTACAAATACCGAGGACTCAGCCGTCTGCCCTGGGCCAATCGAAAGAGCAAAGTCCTCTGTCCAAAGCATTTCAACTCCAGGTCAGGCTATTGACATTGAGAATCCTGACACAGAAAACCCACAACGAGACAATTCCTACTTTGTCACATATCATCCCTGAAGCTCCCTACTTTCTTTCTTCCCTCTATTTTGCAACTGGGGAACATTTCAGGGAAATTATTGAACAATGTTCTTAAGTGGGAAATGTTAGCATTCCAATCTTGAAGTTCCGATTAGTGCTATAAATTATCTTTTCTCAAGAGATATGTTTTTGTTCCCTACTGCCCCATATTTTTAGAAAAATAAAGCCGTTTCTTCCATATATGCTCCACAGTTTCCCCCTACCCAACATTTCTCCCTTCACCTTCTTCCCCCAGAATAGTATAAGGTCTTAGAGTTTGTGATGAATAAAAAATAGCAAAGTGTACAATTAGTGTTTAAAACTGCTGCTATTATCTATAATAATTAAAAATAGTTTCAATGATGGGGAAAGTGGAGCATTAGCCATTTCAAATTATGATATTTGACCACCAAGAAAGTTTTGTTGAGAAAGTTTTGATAAAATAAATACAAAACCATTATTTCTGCAGAAAATACCCCTGTTCAGTCATTACATCCACAACACTCAGAGCAATACCTTCCTGCATGTATTGTTCACTCAGCACAACAGGAAGAAAGCTTATACATGAGAACCAGTTTGGTCTAGTGGTTAAGGTAGTGGCCTAGAAATCAGGACACTGAGTTTAGACCCACTTTAGGCCTGATAGTCAGCTGGGAGACTGGCCTGTCACCCTCTCTTAGCCAGCCCATCTCACAAGGTCATTGTGATGGTGGGAAAAAAAGAGGACAAGGAAGGAGTATTAGGTATGTTCACTACCTTGAATTACTTATAAGGTATCCGAGGAACCATCTCACCCTGATGGGACTTTTGCCTCATTTGTTCCAGTGAAAAGGGCCTACTTTGGATCCCAAAGAATTTTGGCTGGTGAGGTCCAGGAGAAGAGTCTTTTCAGCTGTGGCTCCCACCCTCTGAAATATTCTCCTGTTGGAAATGTGAGATCCAACTTCACACTCTGGCCTCTCAGAAAAGCCTGAAAACTTGGCTCTGCCACTTGGTCTGACAGAGCTCTGACATACTGAAATGGCTGAATGGGTAGAGAGGATTCCTACCCTAAGACTGTCCTCTGTGTTGGTTTTTAGTTTTTTTCTTTAATTCCTCTAATTATAATTGTCTTGTAGGACTTTTCCACTTTTTATCAAACTGTAAGCTGCCCTGAGTTGCTGTATCAGTGAAGTGGATGACATAAAAGTTTAACAAATAAATAAATAAGATAAATACAAGCAGGATAAAAATCTATTAATAAATCTAATTGCATATACTGAATTGGAAAGACACTTGTGCCTAGCTGTACATATAACTATATACATGTGAGTTTCCATATCTGGGAAAAATCGGCATTACAGACTGTCCCCTGCCTATAGGCTTTGTCCCTGCAGCTGCAGGGAACAGGCAATGGTTATAGGAAGCTGATGTCATTTCAGAGATATCAGCAGGGGATAGGATTCAACCAGCACACTCACATGGTAAGTGTTTTATGTTGAAGAGTGCCTGAATGGAGCTAATTCAAGAGGCCATCTGGGCACAGCACATCCTCTTTTCTCTCCCCAAATGCAAAAGCTGAAATCTAGACTTCTTTTCCTGGAGGAAAAGGGGCACAGGAAACCTATACATAAATGTATAGGTATGGGGCCCCAGTCACCACCTTATGCACTGTTTGCCATGTCACCTATTATAGCCGGGAAATGCTCCTCTGAATTGTTCAACATTGTAGGTTAATATTTTTAATTATACCTTAAAGAAAATGAACAAAAAGTTTGTTTTTATAATAGTGCAATGAGGTTATTGTAAAGTAAATGAGTATAATATACAGCAGCACAAGATTTTTTTTTAGCTATGTGTGAAGATGAGTATGTGCTTGTATCTGTGAAGGAGAGAAATCACACAAGTGATGTCTGGTGTAATAATGAAGTTGCAAATGCTTCACAGCTTTGAATGTGAGCTCTTGGAAGGAACACAGCTTGGTGACAAAGCATTTGTTTTGCATGCAAAATGTTTTGAGATCAAGTTTCAGATAGGACTCAAAATCTTATCCTCACCTGAAAAACCACTGACAGTCATGTTGATAATTCCAGTCTAAACAGATCAGTGATAAGTCAGATTGCAAATCTGAAATGTATCTCTTTTTTCTGCACTGGATGCTAAAATAAGTGAAATAATTTTATCCCAGTAAAAATTGAAACAGTTTTTAATTTGAAAGAATTTTATTCCAATGAAGTAGGTGAAATAAATATCCCTGTTTAAATGATTCCAAAGCTTATAGAATCAGAAATTTCTCAGCAGCATTTTGCATGTAAGAAAAGCCCAGCCTTTCCCTTCAGAATCTTTATAGAATGGGCTGGGGGGGAAAGGCATGTAGAAATAAGGTTTTTTTCTTTGTCTTACCTGGCACTTCATCTTAGTTCAGTACATAATCAAGTCCCACATAATTTAGGAATCAGTGTACCTGCCAGTGGCAGTAACACTATGATTGTGATAAAAAAAAAAACTAGCACAAATTTGGCAAAAAATAGAAACAACAATCTTGCTGGTGCTTTCTTCATATTTATGATGGAGGCAAATCAGTTTCATCAAGAGAGAGTGCCAAATCATACAGCATCTTCTTTAGCCTTTCATTGCATACAGTTTTTATATTCTAACAAATGGCAAATTATCTAGAGTTGCAATCAGACATTTAGCATCCGTTCACCCCCTTACTTTACAACCATCTGAATTAATACATCATTTTACAATTTTTCTGATGCTTTAAAATTGCATTTTCTTATGGAGACTCACTAATTTTTGTTTTAAGGACCCCCTGAGAGAAGATGGACTAGACAAACTTTATATTTATTCCCTTTTTATGACATAATTATTCCCATTTTGCAAACTGAGAAATTAAAGTCACTATGAAGTACAGTAAAGAAAACTGAGAATTATTTGATACAGATTCTTACCAGTTTCTCTACATTGACTAATCCATCCACTAAGGTTTTGCTAGCTTCATGCAAAAATGTCAAGTCTGAGAAGAGAAGAGGAAAAAAGAGGAAAAGTAAGAAAAGGATGAAAAGCAACAATTCATTTCTAACTATTAAAAATATATTGCAGTAATCAAATAATCCTTCTCTACTGCGATTGTAGCAAGTTAGAAGAAAACCCTACATTTATGCTCCAAGGCAGATTTATTTATTAATTCTGCTAATAGCTCAATGTCTGTTATTTAGATGGAATTATATGCATGTATAAGAAAAACATCTGAGTAGTGATGATAAAGAATGAGAAACTTGCTATTTCCAGGAGACTGTGTATCAGAATTGGAAAACAAGTTTTGTCTTTAAAACACTAGCACAAATAGATTTTCTATTTGAAAATATTCATATACATAGGAGAAAAGTAATAGTTTTGTTGATAACTAAAATAACACCAAACTTTTCCCTGAATAGATTCTGCTTCTTGAACATCTTGGAGTAACTTAGTACTCTCTACATGTGTTCAAATTAAACTCCATACAAAGTCCTCGATTTATGACCACAATTGAGCCAAAAATTTCTGTTACTAAGACAATTGTTAAGTGAGTTTGGCCTATTTTGTGACCTTTCTTGCCACAATTGTTAAGTGAATCATTGCAGTTGTTAAATTAATAACATGGTTATTAAATGGTTTCCCCATTGACTTTGCTTGTCAGAATGTCTCAAAAGTTGTTCACGTGGCCTCCAGGACACTGCAATCGTCATAAATATGAGTCATTTGCCAAGTGTCTGAATTTTGATCACATGGCCATGCGGATCTTGTAATGGACATAAATATAAAAAATTATCATAACTGACTTTTTTCACTGCCGTTGTAACCTTGATCGGTCACTAAATGAACTGTTGTAAATCAAGGACTATCTATAATTTCTCAGTCACCACAGCAAAGGTCATTATGGCAAACTATTGAGAAAGGGTTTTTAGACCATTGTATTATTATTGCTCCAAATATCCTTACTTCAAAATTAAGCCTAAAATTAGATTTGTTGAGGACTGTTCTGCATAGCAGACTTAAGATGCTGTCTCCCATGCTGAAACAGATAGACCTTAAGGAGCTGTACAAATAGTCCTCAACTTATGACCACAATTGATCCGAAAATTTCTGTTACTAAGCAAGGCAGTTGTTACTGGTGTTTTATTCCATTTTATAATCTTTTTTGCAACAGTTATTAAGTAAATCACTGCAGTTGTTAAGTGAATCATGTGGCCATTAAGCAAATCTGGTTTTTCCCATTGACTTTGCTTGTTGGAAGCTGACTAGGAAGGTTACAACTGGTGATCACATGATCTGTGAACATACTGTCATAAATACATCCCAGCTGAATTTTGATCATGGGGCTATTCCAATGGTCATAAGTGTGAAAACCATCCATAAGTCACTTTTTAAAGTGCTGTTGTAACTTTGAATGGTCACTAACTGAATCTTGGTACGAAAAGGACTATATGTAATCTTTGCTAACCAGTTAACAAACGTATGTAGGAAGCATACCACAGTAGTAATAGGAGACTTCAACTATCCAGATATCAACTGGGAGACAAACTCTGCAGTGAGTGGGAGATCAAACAGATTCCTAACCAACCTAGCCGACAACTTTGTCACCCAAAAGATGGAGGAGAGAACTAGACACAAAGCTATACTGGACTTAATCCGTACAAATAGAGAAAAAGTGATAGAGGAAATTGAAATTGCAGGAATCTTGGGTGAAAGTGACCATGTCATACTGGAATTTAACATAATGCAAACACTAGCAATAGAAAACAATCCAATCAGTGTCTTAAACTTCAAAAGAGCTGACTTTAACAAACTCAGAGAGCACCTAGGAAAAATCCCATGGATGAAAATTCTAAATGGGAAAACAACTCAAGAAGCATGAGAAACCCTGAAAAATGCGATCATAAAAGCCCATATCAGCACAATACCATTGAGAAAGAAAAACAAGAAATTCAAGAAGAAACCAGCATGGCTGCACAAAGATCTCTCTGACAAACTGAAAGACAAAAAGGACAAATACAAAAAGTGGAAAGAGGGGCACATAACTAAGGCTGATTATCAGCAGACAGCCAGAACTTGCAAAGATGAAGTCAGGAAAGCAAAGGCTCAGAACGAACAAAGACTTGCAGCAGAAATCAAGGATAATAAAAAAAGTTTCTTCCAACATATTAACAAGAAAAAAGTCAAGGAAACTGTAGGCCCACTAAAGAGAGAAGATGGCAAGGAAATAACAGGCAACAGGGAGAAAGCAGAGCTGCTTAACTCATACTTTGCATCAGTCTTCTTCTATAAAGAAATTATAGCCGAACATACCAAAAAAACCACTGCAAAAGACATACTAGAAACAAAAGTTAAAATAAGCAAGAAAAGGGTAAGAGAACACCTATCCGACCTTGATGAATATAAATCACTGGGACCCGACAGATTACATCCCAGATGAAAGAGCTGGCAGATGTTATCTCAGAACCGTTGCACCACATCTTTCATAAATCCTGGAGCACTGGGGAAGTACCTGAGGATTGGAAAAGGGCTTGATGTGGTTCCCATCTTGAAGAAAGAAAGAAAACGGACGCAGGAAACTACAGACCAATCCATTTAACATCAATAAATTATTCTAGAAAAGATAATCAAAAAACAGATCTGCGAACAACTAGAAGCAAACAAAGTCATAATTAGTAGCCAGCATGGGTTTGTTAAAAACAGATCATGCCAAACCAATCTTATTTCATTCTTTGATAAAGTAACTAAACTAGTAGACCAGCGAAATGCTGTGGACATAGTATACTTAGATTTCAGTAAGGCATTTGATAAAGTAGACCACAACCTACTCCTTGGTAAGCTAGAAAAAGGTGTAATAGACAATATCACAACCAGATGGATCTGTAGCTGGCTGACAAACCGTACTCAACAAGTAGTCCACAATGGCACCACATCCACATGGAGAGAAGTAAGCAGTGGGATACCACAAGGTTCCATCTTAGGCCCAGTACTCTTCAATATCTTCATAAATGACTTAGATGAGGGAACTGAAGGGGAACCCATCAAATTTGCAGATGACACCAAACTGACAGGAGTAGCCAACACCCCAGAAGACAAACTCAGGATCCAAAAAGATCTTGACAAACTTGAACAATGGGCCCTTATTCATCAAAATGAGTTTCAATGTGGAGAAAAGCAAAGTTTTACATTTAGGCAGGAAAAATCAAAGGTATAAATACAGATTGGGTGAGACCTGGCTAAAAACAGCAACTGTGAGAGGTATCTTGGAGTCCTAGTAGACGATCCCTTGACTATGACCCAGCAGTGTGCAGCAGCAACCAAAAAAGCTAATACAATCCTAGGTTGTATAAACAGAGGCATAGAATCAAGATCACACAAAGTACCACTTTATAAAACCCTAGTTAAGACCACACCTGGAATACTGCAGCCAATTTTGGTCACCATATCACAAAAAAGATGTTGAGAGTTTGGGAAAAATTCAAAGAAGAGCAACTAAGATGATCAAAGGCCTGGAGACTAAAACATACAAAGAACGGCTGCAAGATATCTAGGCAGGAAAAATCAAAGGTATAAATACAGATTGGGCGAGACTTGGCTAAAAACAGCAACTGTGAGAGGTATCTTGGAGTCCTAGTGGATGATCACTTGACTATGAGCCAGCAGTGTGCAGCAGCAACCAAAAAAGCTAATACAATCCTGAGTTGTATAAACAGAGGCATAGAATCAAGATCAAAGTATTAGTACCGCTTTATAAAACCCTAGTAAGACCACACCTGGAATACTGCAGTCAATTTTGGTCACCATATCACAAAAAAGATGTTGAGAGTTTGGGAAAAATTCAAAGAAGAGCAAATAAGATGACCAAAGGCCTGGAGACTAAAACATACAAAGAACGGCTGTGAGACTTGGGTTTGGCTAATCTAAAAGAAAAAAGAAATAGGGGAGACATGATAGCAGTATTCCAGTATCTGAGAGGCTGCCACAAGGAAGAGGGGGTCACGTTGTTCACCAGAGCAAAGAACGAGAAACAATGGTTGGAAACTGATCAAAGAGAGAAGCAACCTGGAATTAAGGAGAAACTTCCAGACATTGAGGACAATCAACCAGTGGAACAGCTTGCCTCCAGAAATTGTGGGCACTCCATCACTGGAGATTTTTAAGAAGAGACTAGACCAGGGGTAGGCAACCTTGGCTCTTTTATGACTCATGGACTGGCTGACTCAGGAATTCTTGGAGTTGAAGTCCATGAGTCGTAAAAGAGCAAGGTTGCCTACTCCTGAACTAGACAATCACCTGTTTGAGATGGTATAGGTTCTCCTGCTTGAGCAGGGGGCTGGACTAGAAGACTTCTAAGATCCCTTCCAGCTCTATTCTATTCTAATTTAGATTTCTACCCAATCTAAAATTGGCAATAATGTTGGTCAGGTGTTCTGTCTGATGGTGATTATCACATCTGCCAATTGCTAGATTCCCTTGCTTCTTTACCTCTCCCAGTCTTGCTGGGAAAAAAGTGCCAATTGATTTTCTTTCTATTCCTGCATTAGCTTCAGGACATGTGGTTTCCATTGATAGATCTTTCATTTAAATTCCTCCTTAGGCCTGGCACCTTCCTGTTTAATATGTCCACTGGTGGGCAGGAACAAAAAGAAGGAACACCACCATTCTTAACAGGCAAAATTCTCATCAATTTTGGTTGATTAAAAAAAATCCAACATTTCACTCCTCTGCCAGTGGGAAGGAGGAACAGGGAGGAATTTAAGGAACTGGTCCTCTCTGACCAGCTGCTGCTTGCCCCAACTGCTTCAATCCTATTGCATAGGTGAATAAGTATTGGTGTCTTTTCAAGCACAGGGCAATTCAGGCTTTGCATGAGCATGTTCCTCTCTACCCATGAAGAGATCGTGAAAATGGCCATTTAGGGCAACAGCTAATAACTGGACAGGAGGGGGTTCATACCAGGAGCTTCATACAACAACTAATAGAGACATTGCCTAGAGAAGGGTGGGCTGGGGAATTCTGGAAGTTAAAATTCAGAAGTCTTAGAGTTGTCAAGATTGGACATCTCTGGCCTAGGCTAATTAAAGAGTAATAGGGAAGCCACATGGCTAAATCTCTGTCAGGACAAACTGAAAAGCACTACTTTTTAAAATAGGGCAGAAAAGCACAATGGTAAACTGCTTCAATGCTGGGAGAATGACTAGCTGAGGGTCATCCAGTCAAGTCCTGTCAATGTGACCCAGTTAGTAGGTTTTGCAGAAGATCCTAAGACAGTTTTCCACACATTCCAGTTTGAGAAAAGCAAGGACTTTGTATCCATCAAATATCACTAACCTTTTAGGATGAGGGGCACAAAGGGGATAATGGGAGGTTTCATCCTAGACAGGACTTCTCTGTAGCTTTTATGATTCCTACAGGGATCCTAAAATGCAAAAGAGAAATGAAAAAACTCAATATTATCTGTGATAAAAGCAGAGAGAGAATCAACTGCAGTCATTCCTCTACCCCAACCCCCATTTTTTAAGTTAAACTATAGAGGCAAAACCATGGATATATCCAATTAAATGTGTTAAATATGAATCCTTGATGAGGCTCAAAATCATTCTAATCATCACAAAGACTGTTTGAACTATGCAGATTGAGGATTACTTTGAAAGAATAGGAGAGGAAAGAAGGAAAAAGGGATTTTTAAAAAAAGAAATGTGGTCCTTAGAGTGAAAAACTATTTCTAGCAGTATTTTTCCCCAAAAAAATTTATATCAAAATGTTAAAAGAGATTCCAGGCAACATTCTTGGCCTATACTTATTTCATGCTAGCTGACAGCAAAAATCTACAAATATTAAAAGTTCTGCCATAGCTCAATAGGTGAGATTAAAATAATGGGTCTGTTTTTCAGGTAAAATGTCCACCACAGCCATTTGTTTCTAGAAGATCCTTAGTAAGCTTCCAGGAAAACCCAGAGACTCCCTGGGACACTGTTTATTAACCACTATATTAAGAAAAGAAATACATCAATGACTAGAAAACATTAGAAGAGAGGGTTTTCAACATCTAAACTGAGCTTACCAGTGGGAAAAGGTTTATCCTAATTGTTGGAATAGTGAAATAGCCTAAAATCTAGGGTTTTTTTTTCTAGTTTTGATTTAAGATAAAAGAGGTGGGGAAAAAGAATTCAGGGCTGATAATAAAGTGGGATTAAAATAATAAAATAAAATATTTGAACTGGATGCTCTTGTGTTTGCATTGCATACTTTTAGTTCCTTTTAGTCACACTTTTTACCAGCTCTTTTATAAAGAAAATATGAATGATTTACCGTGAGGTTTTCAAATTTACGAAACAAGTTCTTAAATTTGCCTGGAAGCTTCTGGAAGAAAAACAGAGTGATAGAGATATAAACAGTTCTAAATGGACAAGATGGTTTAAAAATGATCAGTTGAAAGCAGAGTTTATCCTGTTCAGTCTGTCCTCAGTGATGGATGTGGGGTAATCTATCCAGACAAAAGGCTGCTAAGCACTGTGGAAAACTTGCAGATGTTGACTGAAAGTAAATTGAGCAGGCTACAATTTAAAGAGGAGGAAGGCGTGTCTCCCAACATTTCCCCTTCCAACTGCTTTTACAAAAAATAGATTTCTCCATGAGGAGGTAATACCATAAGTGACAGAAGCGCCCCAGTTTAGAAGCTATATACAGCTTCTGAGAAGCAGTTGATATTTAGAAGAAAAACGAATGACCACATTGAGGCTTACATTAATCCCTGGTTTAATGGAATTCATTGTAAAATGAAAAGTGAATCACAAACTCATCTTCTCCCTATTTCCAGGTGTTAGGTAGATAACCATTTGAGACTTCAGATAAGGGAAGCAGGCAAACATGCTTAAAAATTCAAACTGAGAATTTATGCTGTTTTCTAATGTTTTCTTAGATCAGCTTTTCCAATGAACGTTAGACTGCATCTTACAACTAGAATCATCTAACATGGCCAATTGTCTAGCAAGGCCCATAAGAAAATTTGAGGAACCATCTTACCCTGAAGGGACTGGCTCACCCCACCCATGCCGGCAGAGGGGGCATTCTGCGGATCCTGTCAGTCGAGGAATTTTGGTTGGCGGGATTCAGGAGAAGTGTCTTCTCTGCTGTGGCTCCTGCCCTTTGGAATATCATACCCTCTGAGGTGAGATCGGCTCCCACCCTTCTGACCTTTCATAAGAGCCTTAAGACCTGGTTCTGCCAGATGGCTTGGGGCCCCATTGGGCTTCACACTGGAGGTGGTTGATTAATTCAGAGCTAATCCCACCTCCCCCACCATGCATCCGGCTCCCTTCTTCTCTATCTTGTGACAATAATTTTATTTTGTTTATATTGTTGTTTTATTGGGTTGGAATATTTATACTTGATGATTTTAATATTTTTATGCTGTAAGCCGCCCAGTCGCTTTGAAACGAGATGGGTGGCAAATAAATTCAATATTAAGATAATCATAAAACAAGTAGATCTCTTCAGGTACAGCAAACAGGTTCTGGTTCAGTCAGTACTTTCTACTGTAGTATAACATGGCATTTATAAAACTGCATTTAAGACTGCATTTGGCTAACTAGCATGTTAAATACTGAGCTGTGGTAATTTAAGCCCACATGCATTACAAAATGGCTCCCAGCCTCTTTCAATACATAATGAATGATACAGTATACCTTTTCATCTTGAAATGTGTTTTGAACGAATGTGACTGTTAAACATATGCATGCTACATAATGACCATCTAGAACAGAGAAACTGGTTCTTGGATCTGAGCTAGATCCATTAAATCCATTAATAAAAGACTGTGAGAGGTAACATGCCTCTCACAGACATCAATCAGGTTATATAACAGCCTTCCAAGGAATCGTCTGGAGTTTTATTCCCTCTATATGAGGAAGCTCACTGTTAACATATTCAATTAACAGTTTATAGGCTACAGCAGTGTTTCTCAACAATGCTAACTTTAAGATGTGTAGACTTTGACTCCCAGAATTCCCCAGCCAGCATGCTACAGGAGTTCAGAGTTCTGCTATATTCAGAATTGTTCCAGACAACAGGACAAGAAACAATTGGTTTATAAATTACAAGAAAATACCTTTTAGTTAGACATTAAGAAAATAATTCTCAATCTAAGAGCTTTTTAATAATGGAACAGACTGCTATGAAAATAATATACTCTCATTTGTTGGAGGTGTTTAACCATGATCGTTTGTCAGAGATGCTATAATAGTAGATTCCCGCATTAGTCCAGATATTGAACTAGATCAGTGGTTCTCAACCTTTTTAATGCCGCGACCACCAACCGGTCGTAAGTCGAGGACTAAACCGGTCGTAAGTTGAGGACTAAACCGATCATAAATCGAGGACTAAACCGGTCGTAAGTTGAGGACTACCCAACCGGTCGTAAGTCGAGGACTTTCCCTGCCCGGGAGCGCCGCGCATGCGTGGTTCCGCCCCCTGCACCGGCCGAGGTGTAGCTAGCAAGCAGCAGAGACGGAGCAAGCCAACCACCAGCTGGCCCAGCTCAAGGGAGGTAAGGCACCCGCCGGAAAAGGGGAAAAAAATGGCGGACAGCCTTGCTTGGCGACCCCCGTGAAATGGTCGATCGACCCCAAATGGGGTCGCGACCCAAAGGTTGAGAACCGCTGAACTAGATGATCTTCATAATGCCTTTAAACACTTACATCCTATGAATCTATATTTCTGTACATAAAATGTGAGCTCATATGCCTGAATGCTACTCACCTGGTTTTGTTTTATACATGATCTAGGATTTAGATATGATTTTCTCCTAAGATGTCAGAATTATATGCTATATTCAAACAGTATATTTTAGGATTTATGCTTGCTAACTTAGAAAGAAGAACAGGGATTCTCTGAAGGCCTGAAACTATTGTGCATGTTTATGTATTATGTGAATTAGCTATTATGAGTTGTAAACTGTGATGTATTAGGCAAACCATAGTTTAATGCAACATGAAATCAGAGGACTGTATAGCCCAAATATTAAGATACTAAGCTTTGTATAATTTGTATAAAGCCAATACTTACTTAGAACTGAAAACTATAAAAGTAAATTCTGAATAAGGAAACATAAAATTGATCTTAAAAATGGAAACTACGAATCATATCCAGAAACAAACTACCTTCCATTACTGCTCTTGGATGATGTTTAAAACTGCAGTGGGTTATAAAGAGAGAGAGGTTTAGTGGCTTTGTTCAGATAAGCTAACCCACAATGTGGTTGCTTGGCTTAGTGTGTTATGTGTACACAGCAGTTATGATGTGTTAGGATATTAAATTTAGTAGCTGGAACAGTACAGTGTACAATGGGACAGAACATACAGTTGTAGTTCACTGGTTGGAGACTGGTGGCTCATGCATGATTGGTTGCTGAGGGTGTAAAGGGGGAGTTTCTCCTTTTCCCACCTTTCTCTTCTGTGTGCTATGTATGCTGTTTTGATTTACCTCATGATGTTTCTGTGTTCCTGACTATCTTGTCTGCTGTAAATATAAATGTGAAATATATTTATTTATGTAAAATCACAACTTTGAGGCAGCGTCTCTGACTTCATTTGGACAGTTGCTGCCCAATTCCCTGACATAATGTTTTCAATAAACCTTATTTGACAAACAATAATTTAATACAGCATATAAATCTAATGAGAATATTGGCTCATGAGTGAGATCCAGATAATTTAATAAGTAATATTGTAGCTGTTACAATGCATCCACCATTAATGCTGAAATCCTACTTGCTGAGGCCCTGTTTTATAAGCATCACGAGAAAGAGTCCTCAAATAAGAAACCTATTACTGCATTTTCTGGATCATGGATGTTCCTTATTTGCATCTCTGCTTGATGCCAACACAGTCTGGTGCCAAAGATTATTTGAAATTATAGGAGGAGCCCAGCTATTAAAAACTATTTGTACTCTCAATTCCTGATAAACAGGAAAAGTGGTTCTTGCAAAACAACCAAAAGGAACATTGTGAATATAATGAACAAATTAGTGTCTCTATGTTTCTATGTCTACCTAGGAGTTTGGGAAAGATGAATTCAACACTCACTGTATCGCAACTGTGAATCTTTCAACATTTAGTGTCTTACAGCAGATACTTAAGGAATCTCAGTTTTCCATTTTATTGCTGTAACAAAAATTTTTTTACCTGATTTTCAGAAAGTGTAAGAAAAATAATGAACTCTGGACTAGAGTCTTTTGATATCCTTACAGCACTATTTTTTTTGCAATTACCTGTAGCCGTAGGGGAAGCAGCATTAAAACAGTGATTCCATGCAGCACTTAATATAAAACTACTTAATGCAGCAAGCTTTTCCTTAAAGTCAGCATTGTTCTATCATATTTACTTGGAAACAAGTATTATCCTCAGAAGAGACATCCAATTTTTATTAAAAGCTTTCTTTGCAGCTTTAGCTACTTTTCCTGTTTCCTGCTGAATCTCTTTTCCTCATTTTTTATTACTATGAAGTGGGGTTTAGCTTTCATTCTTTATTTTCTTTCAAGTTTTACCAAGTGAAACAAGGACAATTAAGAAGTATTTATCAGGTCTGCCAAGTAACACACTTTCAGCTGTAAGCAGACAGCCTATAATGAAATAAAAACACATTTTAGATGCTAACAATAATGCTTTGCATGTAAATAGACCATTGACAGACACAGATTAAATATGAGCATGTTAAAGATGTTAGGGTTTTCTAGAAGTGCAGAAACTACATACAACTAAGAAATATAAAAAAATACAATATAATAATGATAAAACCAGTAACTCCTAATAAACCTAAAATATCTGGGTAACCAAAAACATTTTCACTAGTGCCAACTATTTTTACAAATCAAGCTTTCTTTTGCTAAAGCACAACTAATTTTTCTCCTTTTTTAAAGTAAAAAGGAATAAATTATCATGAATAATGTTGAAAATAAAAAGGCTGAAAACATAGAAAAAAATTAAATGCAATGATTTATCACCAGCATTGTCTGGCTCCTCAGTTAAAAAAAGGTGCAAAGGATAGCAATTTCATAATAAGGTGTGGTAACCATCTCCGTCCAACACTGCTGACTAATAATTCACCAATTCCTCATTACTGTGAAGCAGTAAAGCAAGAATGAAGGTGAATATATGTGTTCCAGGATAATCTGCAGGATCCAATCTGGTCGGTCACTGGGACCAGAGATTTTGTCTTCCGAGCTTTTGGACTCATACTGGAGCCCATATTCAGGGAACTTTTCTCTAGATTCTCACTAATTAGATTAACTGATTTGTATTGACTAATTGATTAACTGATTTGTATGCTGCAACACACACCCACTGGGATAATTCTAGGCCAAATGAATATAGATATATAGGTAGGTATTGTGTCTTGGTTTGCAATCCAGTCCTCACAGCTTTATTCAGAAGCAAGTTCCGTGCAATACATTGGGACATACTTCCCGGTAGTTTCTTGGAAACTCTGTGAAACTCTTTTCTGAGTTCAAACATTATCTAAGGAAAAGACGAAGAACTGCTCCTTTGATACTTCTCTGATCTCCCTACTCCGAGAAACTTAGGAGTAATTGTTGTGTTTTTGTTTAGCTTTTCATGTATTAGAGTCAGATAAGCTGGATTTCATATGTCACATCAAGTCCCAAAGAACTTGGTTTGGTTCTGGCTTTATACCAAAACCAGCAATCTGCTTTTTTTATCACTGCTTCTTGTCATTGTGCAAAGTCAGCTCCTGCAATTTGCACTAAATCATAAACTATAGTTTAAAAAATGACAACCATGGTTGCAGTAAATCATAACAAGACGTGAATCACTACTAGTCATTCAAAAGGCCTTTCAGTGGTGAGTTGAAGTGTTATTCAACCATTTGGCAAAAAAATTATACCAACACCAGCAATCTGCTTTTTTATCATTGATTCTGATCCTGCTTCCAAGTCACTGGAATTAGTTAATTTCGTTTTACAGTGATAAGTTAAAAAAAAAGCCTAATAGATTTCACACCATGAAATGGATCTTGGACAGTGCTGGAATGAGGAAAACTTTACTATGACACCTGTATAACTACAATTCTCAGTGAGATGAAGGTAATGTCATAGGACATGGCACAAAAAAAGTATTGCTAAAGAATCTTCATGACATGATTAAAGGAAAGTGAGTAAAGACTCCATAGAATGAACCAACTGAAACTAAGGAAATACTCCAGACTTGCCAACTGAAATGCATCTGTTCCAGTCATAACGAAATCTGGATCTAAATGTCCAGTAGTTTTTAACTGTTTTTATGTTGCTAATGGTACAGCATGATCATTTGTCAGGATCCATTTACTGTATATCCTTAGCCATTTTGAAATATTTTAGAAATATAAAAATTTAACTGCAAATTTGGATGATGATCAAATAGTGTGTATGAGAGAGAAAGAGATAACAGAGATACAAATATACAAAAATCAGTTTTTCTTCTTCATCATCTTACCTCCCAAGTGAGGCGCAAACGACTGACAGGTGCATTGTTCAGTCCTATAACCACAGCATAGAATGTTAACATATCCTGATGCTGTTTACATCTACAGGGGGAAAATAAAAAGGTAGCTGAGAATCAAACCAACAAAATATTAAAACTAAGCAGTTTCAACTGATTTTACCATGCCTGCCCTTATTTTAATTTAGTCTGATATCAGTCAGTAAAATAGGAGAAGACATCTTGGATGCTATCATAGCCCCCTTGTACATATCACCTTACTACTTATATACATAAGACATAATGCCCCTTAAATCTGTGTTATCCTAATTGCAGTCCAACTTTCTGTCCTGTTTCACTCTCAAATGCTGTTGGAGGAAGAGAAGGAGGAGGAGATGAGGAGACAAAAATCTCAGAATTTTCCAGGAGACCATTGTACTGGTCAGGTAGCAAGGAAGGGAAAATAGTTTTTAGAAGTTTTTTTTTACAAAGTAATTTGTGGCCCAGAAAAAGGGGCAGCTGTGGAGTTCACTTGGGTTAAGATGATTCCTAAATACTGCAAGCAAATAAACACCTTCACCTTCTCTTGTCATGTTTCTGAGCCCAGGTAGGCTGCCAAGGCTCAAAGAGAAGCAGGAGGTGGCAAGTGAAATGAGAAGGGATGTGACTTCATCACCAGGAAAAATTGAACTGCCAAATTCAAATATATCTGCCTCCATAATGGTTGAGAGGCAGCTAAAGGGATGTCATAAAACACAACCTATACAAATGATTAGTTCTGTGATTAGCAGGATACTAAAAGTAAGTGTTAGCTAGGTAAATGATGAGAGAAAAGGCAACACTTGTCTTCCATGAAATCCATAGGACACAAACATTATTTAACCAAACCATAGCCATTGCAAATCCAGGAATTTAGAGCACTTCTCTAACCTGAATAATTTGTCCAAAATTTGACGCCCAGTGTGTTTCATAGCTGTGTTCAACCTCTTCCTGCTCCTCCAGGCACCAGGCCTTTCTGCTGCAAATCCCCTCATCTAATAAACAATCTGGGAAGGAAGCTTGAGCAAAGGCTCAGCTATTATTGGGTATTAAAGTCAACCAGGATGATGAAATGAGATTCAACCTTCCTAGCCATTAACCTTAAAGGAACCAACAGAGAGGGGAAGTAGACTGAACATGCACGGAAGAAGCAGAGAGGAACATAATGGTTGAACAGAGCAAGAAAGGAGAAAAATGGAAAGATAGAAAAAGCTAAGATTTCATAGTATATTCTGCAGATCTCTCAGAATTCCAATATTCTTTTTTACAGATTTCAAGACATTGGAATATATTCTTAAAGAACTGGAAGTTGGCAAAAGAGGATATGAACTGCCTGTACCTGCAGAGGAAGATGATTACCTTGTGAGACTTAATATACCCTCTCTTTGGGGCTGCTTGAAATTAAAAGAAACTTAATATTTTTAATTATCCCCTTTTGAATTTTAAACTATTTCCTTAACACAGCATGTTCTTCTAACCAGAGCAACCGTATGTGTATGTATATGTCAAAAAAAGTCCAGATGGCAGCCACAACTGTGCAATTAAACTCTGCCTGTTGTTTACTTGTATCATCCATGCAACACATATAAAAAGGGCTTGGAGCTTTGAACATTTGGAAAACATTAACAATCTCATGTCAGGTAACAGAAGGAGAACAATCATCATCAGTGACATTATGACTGTATTAAATGTAATCCCATTATGAAGAAAGGACCAAAATATGGCACTCACACAGCAGCAATCTTTATGAATTTCTTGAGCAAGTGGGCCCGCTTTCCTAAAGATTCACAGAGTAATACTTCAGTGGCCACCCAGTGCTGAACCTCACTGCAGCGTTGTAGCAGCAATTCCAGATTGGCAGTCTCCCGTCGGCCACGTTCACCATGGAACACATAATCCACAAATTCTAGCTATAAAGAATTTGAAAAGGAAAGAGAGTAAGCAATGGGCCTTCTGAGATCCAGACTGAAGGTTTCACCCTGCAATCCTGGTGCCAAACAACTCATATACATGAACTCCTTTCATTGATCAGTCTACGTCACACATAACAAGGAGAAAGGGGCAGAAACTGAACTGGAGAAAAGATAAGATTAAGTAAAGTTAAGTTGTAATATTGATGACTGCATAATCCTCTATACAGGCTGTCCTCCACTTACAACTGATTGTTTAGTGACTATTCAGTATTAAGAATTACAGAATTCCCAGCAGTATTTATGACCCAGTTCTAAAATTCCAATCCACAGTCACATGACTGCAGTTTGGGTGCTCAGCAACCAGCCCACATTTATGACCACTTGCAGCATCCCATGATCACTTGACTGCATTTTACAATGTTTTTGCTGATTTCCAGATTTCAGCAAAACCAGCCCATAGCAAACAATTAGTTCAATTAATGACCATGGCATTTGCTTAATGACCACAACATTCATTTAACCACTACAAAAAAACCACTAATGCAAAAAAAAGTAATAAAATCAAATATGTCACTCTTGTGCTGTTATTATTGTAACGAAGGCAAGTTAACTAGCACTTCAATGATGACTGGGTGATGTTGTATGATGCTTTAAATCTCTAGTAAAAAAAATAATCAATGTGTCAGAGAGCAAGCTCATCTTTTTCCAAAAATTCGGTCATGAGACTATCCTGCTATTCTGAAATGCAAGGTTTTCCATTTCTGAAAATTCATTAAAAAATCTAAGAATGGCAGATAGTATAGTTCTCCTTGCAAAGTTTGAATAGGCCTATTGAGAAACTCACTCTACTCAAAGAAAGCTAGCATCTCAAGGGGAACATTCAGTATAATATAGAATCACATATTAGCAAGAAAGTGAAGCATCTCTGAATGTGTATTCAGCTCTTGTTGTATGCTGAGATCATGATGTTCCAGGGAGTCAGTGTCCAAACATGTCTAGAAAAGATCAAGTTAGGAAGGTTATGTTTGGTTTGCTCACCTCATGGACACACCAGAACAGTTCCCAGTGGAAGGCTGTCAGGTGATTTGCTACATCCTCAGCTTCCATCCGATGGATTTCTGTGTCACCTGGTGACACTTGGATTTCCTCTGGCAGAGGAACCTGCAGAAAACGTCAAATCGATGGTTAATGTTACCAATATAAGATCTGGGTACGTATGCATATGAATGTGTATCTTTCTACCAACATATATAAGGGGAAGGGGAACGAGGGAGGAAGACATATTTACATATGTTGGAAAGATGTAGAGTAAAGATGAACTGTAATCATGAACACAGCAACTCCAACCACAAAGAGGTCAAAGAATCACAACGCAAAAGCCATGTTGACAAGTCAAGGAGAGCCATACCCAAGGAAATCCACTTACCAGGGATGGAAAAGTATCCTTTGTGCAGGCAAAAAGATGGCTGTTTATCCCCAAGGTAGTGAAAACACACTCTTCATTAGGCTGTAGCACAGATTTCTCTGAGATTAGGGGTGAAAGTGATTGAAAGTTACTGAATTACCTGGATTGGCATATAAATATCTCCCATAACATTTTCATTAAAAATGATTGTAGGTTCATGTTCACATTAAGTTAATAATCCTCTTTTCTACTCATCACCTCTCAAATGAATATTTTATGCTTCAACACATAGCTAGCCCACTTTTTTGAGACATCTAGCATCAGTGGAGTTCCTCACAGTGCAATCACTTCTGGAATGCCTGAGGGAAGACTTTCCAAAAAAGTCATTTGTCCTGTCTTGAGTATCTGAGCATCTTGGAGAGTTTAAATTGGCTGGATTTGGGACATCATTTATTAGTATTTTTTCATTATTTCATTTTTGACTTTGGATTTAAGAGTAGAGACTTTCCTAGTCTTTAAAACTAAACTCTAGGCACTAGGACTTTCACTCATTAACCCTCTCACAAAGCAAACAAAAGAACAACATACAACAGAATTATCTTCTATTTCAACTTACCTTATTGAATAATTAATTAATAATTATTCACGAATTCACTATTCTTTCACTTTTGCTGCACTTATGGATATTTCCTTTTATCTATGTGCCACTGTGTACTATGTGACCCTAGGCACTAGGTAGGTCTTCTCAGGCCTCATTCTGATGAAACAGCCCAAAAAACCCTAAATATACTTCATTTTGACCAGGTGGCAGTAAGATGTAATAGTAATTACAACCTGCTATGCTTTTCCATCTTTGACCTTTTATTTTCTGAAGTTTTTGAGTTTCAAGATTGAGGAAGGATAACTCAAACCACGATCACTCTTCCTGAGGGACAGATACCTCCTGATGATGCAACAGCTACCAGAATGAGAGCTTCCTCCCTTGTAGGCTGTTCATCAGAATATTGAAGTTTCTCAGTCACTGACGTGAGGATGTCCTGCACAGAGGCTGAGAGGCGGCTGCGGATGGTAACATAGGAATGGTCTGGCATATAGACTCTGCAGAAGACTAGAAAAAAGGGAAGACAACCAAGCTGCTGAAACCTGGAATAGAAAGGGACTTCAATGATGGCTTGAATCCTATCAATGTCTCTGAGACTCTGACCATAGTTGGGGAATGGCTGCGATCAAGCCAACATGTTGCATTTGGAAAAGCCTGTAATGTTGGTCCTGCAATGTGGAAATGATCAAGGAACTGTCAACACTGGTGGAATTCTGTTCCTTCTAGACAGATTTAGGAGTTTCTTGGATTCATCACTCATCTGGGAAACCAAATCTATGACAATGACAAGAATGCTGCTTACATCCCTCTCTTACCTCCTTAAATACAGACCTTGAGACATCACTCATGGCATCTCATGTTAAACTTCTATAATTTGGTTTGTGGTGAGACTCTGACATTTCAACTGGCAGAAAAGCCCAACTTCTGATGCACATGAATCCCTGGAATATACAGCATCAAGTGCCCCTGTTTGTTTCTGCCCCATTACTGTCTTACAAACTTAACTTGATGCTGCTGAATGATTACTGAGATACTTTTAATTTTTAAAATCTTCTGAATATCCCATATATGGGCTTAATTTTTAACTGAGCTTATTCCTATGGTATTATGCCAATGCTGGCCATACCTCCAAAATTTGACAACCTTAAGTAGGAATGCTACATTTCCCCCAAAATTATTGTACTTGTTTCTGCTTCATTTGGCACACTTTTTTCCTGCAAAGACAGAAGAACTGGAGCCAGTGAAAAAGGTGGCATTACTGTAGTGTTTCCAAACTTGGCAACTGTGTGGGCTTCAACCCTGAGAATTCCTCAAACAGCAAGATTGAAAAACTCTACATTAAACTAACCTGACTGCTTTTACTTTCTTTTTTTCCCTTCTCTAACCTCTTATTTTCTGAACTTTGAAAAGGCTGCAATAGAGAAGGCAGAAAAGAAGGCAGATGTCATGGTGACATTTTCCTTGGGAGACTGTTAAGTCCTGATTGGAAATGCACAAAATCTACCATAACAATAATTTTGAGAGAATGCCAAACCATATTTTAAATATTCCAAATTGATATTCTGATCTGGAAAAATTGTATGGCAAATCCTGTCTAATTTATTCAAGGGCTTGTGTGCATTTGTAATTTTTTGCCAATGGTTGAATGAAATTGTATCACTATCCTCCTTCAGTTCCTATAAACAAAACTTTAATTTTATTCTCTCTTCCACCCCCACCGCCAAGCATACTCTTTATTATTTACTTTCATCCGATCCACGGAAAGCAACCCGAGTTTGAAGACATGAATCAATGCGGCGAAAATGTCTGAACAAAGGCTTGACTTGCTTGCTGGGTGGTTCAGTTTCTTCAGTCATTCTGTAACCAGATGGCAAGATTTAAAAGCCAGAAGAGATGGTAACTACATTCTCCGCAATAGCTATGACTCACACAGTTCACTAAGCTACAAAGCATCCAATCACATTTTAACTTAGTATGTTATGCAAATTCAGCCAATACGACATGCACACCCCAACATGTGATTGAGTAAGCCAAAGCTAAGCTAACATTGAATAAGCATGGCACACAAATTCAGTCAATGGGATGAATAATACAGTTTGACTGACTGGCTCAGCCTATTATTGAACCTAAGTTATTAAGGTTTGAAAAGAATTATTCATGGTCAAGGGCCTTTCAGCACTTGTACATAATCATGCTGGGTAATATCTTTCTTCTGCCATGCTCTCATCTCAGTGCATCTTAACCCCAGTCCACAAGTGAGATAGGTTTAAACATTTTTAGCTGTACTGATATTTCTGAAATACCAACTACCTAATCAGGAGAACTTTAAAAGTGACAATCACCCATAATAGCAGGTAGCTTGTGTAGCTCCTACAGTAGAGGTGTTATCTGTAAATCCCTAGCAGCACCCTCATTATTCAAGCAATTCCATTCTGGACTAGTTGATTTCCAAATAATTTTCATGGGCAATCCCATGAAAGTGGATATCAAAAGTCTAGACAAGGTACAAAGGTAATAGAGCTTCTAGATCCAGATAAGATTGTAACTAACACACAAGATATAACTGTGCAAAGACCTTCCTAGCTACATCTTCCACCTGATCCTCAAATAAGAGGTGAGAATCCAGGAAGACCCCTATATAATGAATCACGTCAATCCAGGACAGTTCAACTCCATTTAGAATTTTTAAAAAATGGTACAAAAACGCTTCCATAACCACTGTTACTCTGTCTTACTTGGATTAAGCCCAAATGGGAACCAAAACTTTCCCATCCATGTTGCCATTTTTAACTTACTTGAGTTCCACTGTGTCCACAAGCTCATGTAACTTTAGGATTTCATCTTCCAGTTTGTGGTAGAGGGATGCATCCTTCATGATCAGCAAATACAGATCCTGAAAGAGAAAAGAAAGTTACTTGGGCTAAATAACATCAAACTGCCTAAGCAAAGGAATAGCAACTACTGCCCACCAGTATCTAGCCAGCCATGAAGACTTGCATCCTTAGACATATGAAATAATTAGAAAAACAAAGATTGGGATCTTGTAATTCAGGTATATTCGTTTTTTAATTAGTTCGCTCTCATGAAAGCAGGGAAAGAAAAGCTCTGTTATACCTTGATGACTTTGCCAGCCTTCTCTTCTTCTTGCAGAATTCCCTTGAACGTTTCAAGAAAGTGCAGTAAAATGATCAAAACTGCTCTTTTCCGGTGCACAGCCTCATCTTCTTTCCAGCTTGGTGGTGATGGGATTGCTGATGCCGTCATGAAGGTAGCAGAGGCAGGTTAAGGTAAACCCACAGCATGAAGTTTCAGGAAACAACTAACAATTAGAGGGGAAAAGGTATTCCAAATGACAGGTCTGGGAATGAAGTGGAATTAATCTGAGTCCAGATGGCAATAAGAAAAAACAAAGGAATTTTGCATTACTAGCCTGTTGATGTTAATTTAGTGTGTCATTTTATACTGTATATATTCCAAATAATCACAAAACTGGCATACAAAAGATTTAAAGTTCTGAATATTTTGAATTTAAAACTCTCCATTTCAGTTTAAAAAAATGTTCCAAATTTATCAGAATTGTATTGTGAGCATTCCATGTCCAGAAATGTCTCTGATAAATGGGAATGGAGGGTGGAATAGCTTCAGAATACTTCTGGAAAGGCATGAATATTTTATTTCAAACACTGAAGATAACAAATACTGAAGATGTTACCCAGTTGGGTAATGAAATGTCTGCAAGTAAAGAACCAAACTCAGAGAGCACCACATTTCAACCTTGAGCTACAAATATTGTCTTCTAAAGATTGAAATGACCGTCATTACCATCATTCACTGATTTCCTAAGAAGAAAACCTTATTGAATAGATTGAAAACTATATCTAAATACAAGCACAATTGAATTGTTTATGCTGATGACAGTCTCTTAAGGATAAGCTGCAGAGATGGATAAAAGGATATGTGTAATCCATATTTTACAAATCATGCAGTTAAAAGAACAAGAGGTACAACGTCATTGTATTAGAATTTTCCTGTTCTCCTTAAGCAACAGCCAATTAAAAAAGGGAGACAATAATACTGTATGATACAACCTTTTAGTGATTCACCAGCAGAATAAAGTTTTAAAGAGTAAATTGTCCCTTACAAAGTATTATTCCAATTTTTAAAGGCTATTTTTTAAAGATTTTTCAATAAGCTTCCTAGAGATCAACTGCCTTTTAAAAATGTTAATCAATCTTTTATGTAATTCATTTAGCATCATTTCTTTGGCAGCTTCTAGCCATATTCACCAAGGTCAAGGTCAAGAAATACAAAAATCATACAGCTGTGGGCAGTAGTTTCATATTTAATGACTCCAAATATTTCACCGGGTGCTGCTCACATATTTTCATAATGACTAGAAATATGCTTTTAAAATGAAAATTACAGCTGAAATTCTAAGGAAATTAACCAGTTATGCAACAGCACTCTGTAGAATAACTAAATACAAGAAGATCCAAGAATATGAAAACATGAAAAGTGAAATGGATTTCCCCCCAGTCCTTTTAAAGGGTCTTCTCCAAAAGTCTGCAGGAAGGATATTGTTGGTATAGCTGATGTAAGAACTGCTCTGTGGGCAAAAACAATGAGTGGATAAGAACAATATCATCTAGGAGGATATCTAAGAAAAGACAAAAAAAATGGGAAGAAAAAAAGAGATTATAATGCAGCCGAGCTCAGGAAACAAGGCACTACCAATGGTAAGGAACGTGGACAACTCTTTTCTTGTTTGGTTCAATAGGATGGGACACACAAGCAGCCTCGTGAATACTCTGTAAATGGCCAACTCAATTCCAACAAATCCTAATAGCCTTGTTGCAGTGCCCTGGCTGGCTGATTTTAGATAATTTGCTTATTCACTTTCTTCCAGAGTCAACACATTTTGTTTCAGAAGATAATATTTTATTAATAAATGAGCATCTGTACATACACAGCATGCATGTGATGGTGTGGCAAGAAACTCTGGCCTTGGAGAAAGGGGAGGAGCATGCTGCAGCAGTTCACGTCAACCGAGATATTGTATTGATCTTGGGTCTGTTAGTTGGTAGCCATTTCAAGAGAAATTACAAAACCCTGAAGTTTGGTCTTAAAGACCACTCTTCTATACACTTGTCTCTTCTCATCTATGCTTGCAATGTGGACAGAAAGTGTTACCACCTTCATATCAGTCTTTGTTGAATATGATAGCCCTCCAGGTAATTGAATTTCAGTTTTAAGAATTTTCTGGCCAGAATTTAAACTTGGAGAATATGCAGCAATGGTAAAATTAGCAATATATATACATAACAAAAAATTAATTAAATGTAAGCAAAAATGGCTTCTATATATACTGTATATCACACAGCAGGGCAAATACAAATACTTAAAGTGTGATTTCTAAAGTTTATAAATAATGTAAATGAGTTGGATTACAAAGAAGGGGAAATTAGAAGTAAAATACTTACTTATACTATTTTAGTAAGGTTTTTTTCTCTTTTTCTAGTTATTTTTTCTTTTTTTAACATTTACAAAATAACAATATAGTGGAGATTTCAAAGATTTATATTTTCCTTTTGACCCATAAAAATAACTCAGTGTACTTTGTCTATTATGGTTAATATTTTATTAATATTATACTGCATATTAGTTGTATAACATTCATTTAACAATGTAGCTTTTGAAATTATATCTTTGATGTAAATAATTTTTTTAAAAAATAAAAACAATTCCCCAGACAGAATGGCCATTGCTGAGACTTGCAGTTCACATCTAAATCAGGGGTGTCCAATCTTGACAACTTTAAGACGTTTGGACTTCAACTCCCAGAATTCCCCAACTAGTGGTAGAACTGAGAGTTGAAGTCCAGAGGCCTTAAAGTTATCAAGGTTGGATACCTGATCTAAAAGGCTCTGGTTTGGGAGTTACTACCTCATGTCATCATAATTAGGGCATATTCTAGTGATTTGTGTTATGATTTTTTTTAAAGAAGTGTCTCTGAGCATGTATAAAGAATAGTTGTACAATGTTAATCAAGGAGAGAAGCAACCTAGAACTAAGGAGAAACTTCCTGACAGTTAGAACAATTAACCAATGGAACAACCTGCCTCCAGAAGCGGTGAATGCTCCAACACTGGAAGTTTTTAAGAAGAGACTGGACAGGGTTTCCTGCCTGAGCAGGGGGTTGGACTCAATGACCTCCAAGGTCCCTGCCAACTTTATTATTATTATTATTATTATTATTATTATTATTATTATTATTATTATTATTATTATTATTATTATTATTATTATTATTATTATTATTATTAGTTATTGAATAAAAATCTTTAATTTAGCTTCCAGAGAGAGACATTTTGACGTAGTGATTAAGGCTTTAAGCTAGAAAACAGGAAATCATGAGTTCGAATCCTACCTTAGACACAAAGTTGGATAACCCTAATCCTAACTCTAACCCCAACCCTCTCTCAGGCCTGGGAAGGAGACAATGGCAAACCACTTCTGAAAGACCTTGCCAAAAAACCCTGCAGGGACTAGTGCAGGCAGTTGCCAGGAGTCAACATGACCTGAAGCCACAAAAAGAAGAAATCCTAGCTTCCACCTATTCCCCATGAAAAATAAAAGGTCATAGGTCAAAAATACAGATGAAACCCCAAATTCAACCCTAATTCTCTCAAATTTTCTTTGGCATTTATTCTCCTTGTTCACAGAGACTGCTTTTTCATATTATTGTCTATTAATGAACAAAGGATAATGGCTCACTTTACCTTTCTTAGGAAAATAGAGAAAAACAGAATTCAGATCAAACCTTAACACATTTGATTTTGATTTTGATTTGATTTTATTAGATTTCTACCCCGCCCTTCTCCTTGCGGACTCAGGGCGGCTTACAGCCCGTTAAAAACAAGTAAACAAATACAAAAAACATACCACATTTTAAAATCAATTAAAATAAAATATTGCAATAGGCCAATTAGTATCCTTTAAAACCAATAGAAAACTAATTAAAAGTAAT